GGTAGATAAGGTAAGGGATCAACATACCTGGAGATAGCTGCCCCCAACCACAGATTTTCTCACCAATTGAGCCGATGTTGCATTTGATGACCGGTCATGACCTCGGTACCACCCACAACGCAATGCAATGCCACCTTAGTCCAATGCCACATCAGCATGCTCTCATCATCAATCAAACATTCCGCCTGTCACCACGGCTATTAATGTCGTCTGTAGCCTTCCGGCGCACCCCTCTCTACCCAGGGCGTGCGCCTATCAATGGCCTGACATCACAAGTACCAACTGCGAAGAAGCATCATCAACGCACCAAGTCTGTATAACGCCAGCATGCCGAAGGTAAGTGGCGATGAAACCAGCTCCGATACCAAATTGCAAGGAACATGAATATGGACGAAACACAGAAATCCAGAATGCAAAATCACACTGAAGTCCAAGTAGTCAAAGCCAAAGCCGATAGCACATGGAACCGAGTAACCATCCCGTTGAGAATGATACAGAAGAATCGTGAGTCAATGTCCATGCCCAACAGGGCAACACCAACAGCATAACCCAAATGTAGCTCTCTCTTGTGAATGGCGCCAGGTGCCCTATCTACTCTACAGCCTAAGCTACAACTACAGCAATGAAAGCAACCAGACAACTTGACTACCAGCGAGTGATGATGTCAACACCAATGCCGACCTCCACCTCCACCAGGTACGTGTCCTCGTCACCCACACTCTCCCTTGTACCCACACAGCGCCCTTCACCTCCGATGACTACCTTCGCCCTTCACCCTCACTGCACCCTCATGCGGCCCGGCTATGGCCGCCAGTGCCCTGGTGCGCAGGCAGCGCCCTACCGCCTAGCGCTGGCCTGCCTTGCACCTCTCTTAGCGCAGCGCAGCAGCAGCAGCAGCTCGCGTTCGCGCAGCGTGCCGGCATTGCCCGCAATGGCCAAGATCCCTGCCCACTCGCCCTGCTTGCCTATATGCCAGTGCAGCGTGTGGGCGGCCTCCCTTCAGCCTGTGACCGGGGCCCAGAGGCTGAACCCAGCCCGATACAGTTGGGCCCCGGGGCAATGCAGTTGCGCCTCCTTCATCAAGGCCTGCGGCCAGATTCAGATAGTGGGCCGATTTCCCTTTGGCATTTTCGGCCTCT